TGAGAAATAAATACTTCGTTTTACATCTTATGCTATCAATGAAAATGAGGTTATCTGGAATGAATAACAACAACAGCACAAATAATGCTGATAATAAACTAAAGTATTTTTTTCTAACAGTAAAGTATCATAAGGATAAACATTTTTTGAAGTATGTTCGTTTGTCATTCTACTACGTTTCACATTTATGTGAAACCATTCAATTTTTATCAAGAAAAAGTTTCGGCATCATACAGAAAAAAGTGAGAGTTTTATTACTACTCATTTTGTTGTCGATTGCTAGCATCAAAAGCAATGTTGATAAATCTTTCATACCAAAATATGAATTCAATGTGTTTTAAGAGAATGAACATTTTCGTTTAATCTAACTTAACTTTTGATTATATGCATTCAAAGGCATTTTGTGTGATCAATATTCCTATCGATCGACTAGTTAAAGAGTATGCATGTGTTTTTTCAATTAAGCACAAAGAAAACTAGATATTTTCTAAAAGAAAACTATCAAAGAAATAAGCACTAAATATAAGATGTTTAAATGAGATCTCGGATAGTTTTACATAACAAGTTCTACGAGATTCAAGTTTCAAGATAGGCTCATGATTATTCGACGATGTTCCCAAGCAAACCTCAAAAAACTCGCGAGGGGTGTGCAGAGCCCTTGCAAAGTTTTGTCCCATCGAATAATCAGTCTAGAGTACTCAGATACACTTCGATTGCTCGACACCCATCGAAACTACGAGCACTTGAAAGAATGAATCTATCAGAAGAACACATTCGAATGTTCGTACTGATTTAGATTACTCGAAATCTATCGAACTTGCGAGCACTTGATGGAAACAAACCTATCGGAGAGACACTTTCGAGTCTCCGAACTGGTTGCGATCGCTCGAAATCTATGGATTTTTTGAATACTTGGTAAGAATGATCCATCATAAGAACATTTTCGAGTAGTAAGAGTGAGTTCGATCATTCGACGTCCATCGATTTTTCGAGTACTTAATGAAAAAGAACCTAGCTAAAAAAGATTTTGACCAGTTGGCCCGATTTCGAATGATCGAAATGTACTGAATCTTCGGCTACATCACAGGATTGAAAGAGTAGTGAAAGAATTATTTTGATTACTGGATTCGATATCGAACGTTCGAACTTGTTTGAGATCGGATTTTTTAAGATTTTTTACATTTCTTATCTAGAAAATAATATTTAGAGGGTGGGTGTGGGTGTGGGTGTGGGGTGTGGGTGTGGGGGGGTGGGTG